CTTGTTCCTGGGCGACACTGCAACGTTTTGCTTTTTCTATGATCCTCTTAAGTTGAACTATTTGATTATCAAGGTCTGCGATATTCTTCTTTGCATTCTCCATGTTGGTTCGTACTACTTCCAGTTCTCGCTTATTCTTTTCCTCTGCAATGCACGGACTCTGCTGCCATTGTTTAATGCGCTGAGGCAAGAATTCAAAAACACGACTATACAAATGAAAAAAGCATTGAAATAAATTAGAGGATAATCCTTTAAGGTGTATTATGTTTGGTTAGACTAGGCTAGATTGGCTAGACTAGGTTAGACTGACTTGACTAGGTCTAGTATTGCATGGTTGTCTCAGATATTCTTTCCATTTTGGAAATTAGACAAGGTTTTAAAATACATGTAATCATCAGAGAAACCACATGTTTTTTTTCCATGTCTGCTGAAATTCATACAATGCTCTATTTTATTAAAGTCAGATTGACAATAATAATTCCTTTAAAAAATACCTACTTCTGTTTAAAGTAATATAAAAATTATCAACATGAACACAGAAATTAATGTATTTAAAAAATGTGCACCCATAACTTCAGAGCGTAAAATGATTGAAACACTTTTTTATTAATTTTAACCAGCATAAAAATCATGGTACACATTTTTTTTAAATTCCATCTTTAATTTCTTCCTTAAAAGTACAAAGCATTTACCAATTCTCATTAATACATTCTTCACAATATTTTCCACATTCCTCATAATTAAAGTTTTTGCTATACAAGAAGTTTAAATTTTGTGTAAAATGGTTCATACTTAGTAGCCAGTTTGAGGCCGCACTCCTCGCTGCAGTACTTGCTATCCGGTCTCGCAACTTGAGTACAGCTTGGTCCATAGCACTGCTTCCGAACTTCATTTTTCTGCTTCATCTTTTCATCCTTCGCTTCCTTCTGACTGAGCTTCCTTTTTTTGTCTTTCACCTATCAATGACACATCAGAAACCATTAACCATAATCAAACACAAAATGTATTGATGATTAAGTGAGGGGGCAATATACTTAGCTCACAAAATACAGTGATATCAAAAGATTTTTAACCACTTGAGTGTGATTTTTTTTCAATGACAGACGATTGGATGGAGTGAGCTTTTTGTGGTTGTGTGTTCCCAAGTATGCCCTAAATACACAACTGCATACAGATTATGTGGCACCAGGGGTGGCCCAGCTAGGCCCTGTCAGGGAGAAAATATATCCAACTTATTGGTTGAAAAAATAAATCTTATGTAATTCGTAGACTTTACAATTAATTAAGCCTTTCAAATCTTTAAATTGACGGCCTGACCTACTTACACTTACATTCTGGACATCGTACTTCTGTTGGCAAAATCCTGGCGCCACCAAAGACACAATATATGCAGTTGACAATTATAATCTAAAAAAGAAGGAATTTTTGCCAACCTTTTTCTCTTTTCCTTTAACATGTTTGGACTTTTTGTGTTTCTTTTTTAAGGATTCCCTGTCCTTGGCTGGCCTCATGACATAATCAAAATGATCCACCAAGCTGGGGTCGACATCCTAAAAACCACAACATGTATTGTCATTAGTAAGGTCATTACTACTCCAAAATTCAAATTTCTTAATGTTCTACATAGGAAGAAAGTCAAGCAATCTGTTTAATAATTATCAACATTTTTAGTGTAATATGGTTACAATATCACCATTATTAATGTCGAAATATTGAATCCCAACACGATGGCGTGTATTTCAATACTTGGAGTATGTATTATACTTTCTTATCTGAGATTAATCAGTGGACCTTTCGGTTATATCACTATAAAATAAACAGAGAAAAGCTTATATACACTATCCAATTTTGTGTGACAAACATTTGTGATTTTCCCATATACAATAACACCTTGAATAGAAGCCCAATGGGCTTAATCTTGAGAAGCCCATCTCTAATTTAAGCACCCCCACCCTCTTCAGTTTGCAAAAGTTAGCCTCGAAAATACAGTACATACACTCTACATGGATTTCAAAGAAACAAAATAAATAAAAAACATGCTTAGTTTTTTTTTAAAGGCGGTTATACACTTCATGATACAGACTAATGTTACAGTGGCCCTATTTATTGTTTTATAATAGTAATTCCAAAAATTTACAGCATTCATTTAGAAAAGAACCCCCCTCTTTACTTCACAATAGCAGCCTCGAAAGCCCATCTCAAAAGGAAGCCCAACCAAAGTTTGCAAGAAAAAAAAAACCCTTGGCTTCTATTCAAGGTTTTATGGTGGGTATGATATATGACATCATCATGCTCAGATACAGAAGTGATATGACATCATCATCATGCCCATATATAGAAGTGATGACATTATCATTTGTGTAGCCAGAGCTTACTAGGATGAACAAGTTTTATTTATTGTTGAACAAAAGAAGTTATTAACAGGGAGGCAGTAGTCCGAATAAACCAAGGACTTACAACTGTTACCAGGATAGGAAGCTGGCTGGTTTAAGCTAACTTGAATTAGCCTTATGTGCGGTATTGTTATGCTAATGAGCCAGATAAGCACAATCTGCACATGCTCAGAAAAACAAAACTTTCCTTTGCCACACTGCGGCCCGCACTGCGTATCGGCTAGGCGTACAGCTAGGCCTGCCAAGGATTACGGTACGGTAAACAAAGAAAAGGCGTATTAAAATAAAAAATTGGCGTTGTGAGCAATACATTTTAATTTTATATAAGTAGTAAGTATATGAATAATTTTAATGCACTAGTTAGTTGATAACTCATTCTAATTTGTTTTGGGTCTTTTTTCTGCATTTTTATAAGCGGTTAGACATGGCCTAGGCTAGCCAACAAAACAAAATCGCATCAATTTAAAATCAAATTTGTGAACATGCTTGCCTTTTATCTTAAATAGCAGGTGATTTTATTGGTAGATTAGTTTGCTTTTAAGTGTGTAAGTATGATTGATTTACATGCCAAGTGAAATTAGTACCCTTACTTTGCTTTGTTTTACCGTACCGTAATTCTCGGCTAGGCCTAGCTGTACACCAAGCCGATACGCAGTGCGGGCCGCAGTGTAAGAAAAGTTTTGTTTTTCTGAGCATGTGCAGATTGTGCTTATCTGGCTCCTTAGCATAACAACACCGCACATAAGGCTAATTCAAGTTAGACGGCTTAAACCACCCAGCTTCCTATCCTGGTAACAGTTATAAGTCCTTGATTAAACATTGTTGAGTCTGTTGATAAAAATCTGTTATTTCCATCCAGCTGTTTTTACGATGACATAAATTGTACATAATAGTATAATTGTATTTTTAACAGATATATAAATACAGTTCAACCCCTATGGCCCTGGTATTCAACAACTGTCTGCAGGCCAAGATTCAGCCCGCTAAAAATTTTGATCCGTCCAAGCGACATTCCTAAAAATAAATCATTTTGTCCAGCAGATTTTCAATACTTACAGAAAAGGTTATTCAGTTAATAGAAACACGATTACCGACTCTACAAAAGAGTCTGTCTGGCTTTTTCTGAGTGTAGCTCTCTGTATCTATAGTAGCGTAAAGTATCGACATGGGGAAGGGGGAGACTGATTAGATTAAAATAAGGTGTTGAGCGCTGATGTGATGCCTTTTCTAACCACTGGCGGTGCCAACTGCGAAATTCAGAAAGCAGGCCTGTGAGAATATCACTCTGTTGAAAACACTTTATTGTCAAGTAATGCATCTTTAGGAAAATATGTTATGTTGTTGACGTTTTGCAATATAAAAGATAATCATGTGTTGTATTATATTAAATGTAATATTGTTAAAAATGACATGATATATAATGTGAACTGTTAAATAGTAGTAGGCCTACTGTACATGAGAATGAAAAAAATATAATAATGCACACTAAAAATATTATATTAATGAAAGTTAAAATACATATTTTGCCGTTTAAATCTGTATTCACAATTTTATAATCTAAAGAATAATAACTCAGTTTTGTTTTATAAAGAATGTTTATTGCACAAACTTAATTAAAATGAGGGATAAGTTGTAAATAAGTAAATCAAAAATTCATATACTAAAAGAATATAAACTCAA